GGCTGCGGGGGCCGGAATTGAAGCCAGAATCATGGCTGTAAGGTCCGGTTCTGGAGCCGGAAACATGGCTGTAAGTTCTGGAGCCGGAAACATGGCTGTAAGGTCTGGTTCTGGAGCCGGAAACATGGCTGAATGGGCCGGTGCAGAAGCCTGGACCCTGGCTGTGTAAGCCAGGTAATCCAGTATGGACGCAAAGCTGCGTGGGCCGGTACTGGAGCATGGAGGCATGGCTGCTAGCTTGGCTTTGCGCCTCCTTCTCTTAGCAGTCGCCGGAAAGCTCCTTGGACCTCCATAAGCCAGACGAGTTCCAGCGTACGACTCCTGGACAGGAGCAGGAACTGGGGCAGAAGCACTGGCTGACTCCAGACGGACCACACCGAGACGTTTGTAGTCAGCAGGCTGGAAATCACACACCCAGAGGAAGTTCAAAATCCAGCCAGGCAAGAACTTCACCAAGTCTGGTTTCTCCATAGCCAACCTACCTCTACCAGAGCGGCCTCCCTCTGCCGAACACTGGACGCTCCACTCCACCAATCACAGCAGCAAGCCAAACAAAAGGAAAAATGCTGTAGCTCCACCTCAAATGGATCATCTGCTGGGTCCATTTCTGGTCGGTTCGTACTGTCACGGTGTGTGAAGCAGGTAGGACCCAAATGCAGATTAAAGTGACAAATTCCTTTATTTCAAGGCTAGGTGATAACAAAGACAAAACAGAACACTCACCGACGAACTAGTCATGACACAAGACGAACCGACAAAGACAGACAGAAAAACCAGAACTTAAATACACACAAGACTAATCACAGAAACAAGACACAGGTGACACCAGGTGAACACAATCGGGTAAATTAGACACACCAGGGAAACTAACGACCGGGAACCACAGACAGATTTAAACAAGACACAACGCAGACAGAAACAGGCAAAACAGGAAGTGAAGACCTTTCAACATAAAACATGAAACAAGACAAGACACCATAAAGACAGATCGTGACAGTAACAGACCAAAACACCATTTCAAGCTGGCTTTAATTCTGCAGTGAATCCTGAATGAACAATTCAACAGGAATGTTGATTTGGCTTCCTCAGTGTTCAAGTAGGTAGGCCTACACCCTACAACAAACGTTAACACTGGTTTCTTCACCAAGTAAAGTGCACTCTCTCGCTAAATAAAATAAAATATTCAAGGCACAGTTTCTCAGTATAAAAATGCACTTTCTGCTTTAGGTAGCACTAGCGGTGATGTAACATCAATACACATGAAAAGGAGAGTAAAACATAAAACATCAATGAGGAAAAGTCAGTGCCAAACAATTAAAATGTAAACTTTAGACTTGAAGTGCAATCAAAGACTTTAACATAACTGAACATCTGTTTCAAAAGGGAAAAACAATATAAATAGCTTATTAATAAAATATAAGCCAACAGAATCAAACAAGACAATAAATGAAGTGCAATACTGTCTGCATCCTGACAGCTTGGTTTTTACTAACCGTTATCAGTATGTAGTTACTTCGGCATCATTTTGAAACGTGTATTACAATTAAATCACGGTAAAATAGGTTGATTTTGTCGTAGTTGGTTTCCACCACAGTATTTACATGGATATAAGCCCCGCCCCCTCTCCAGCGCGTCCTGTTTGAATGACAGGAGTAAACACAGCTGACAGCCGCGGTGAAACTCCAGCGGTTGGAGCGATGAGAATATTCGCATCGCGTCCATTGTGAACGCAGCATAACGCAGTTCAGAAACCACTGTTCTGACGCTTTTAAAGCAACTTCGAGATGTTAACAGTATCAGGGGCACGCAGGCCATGGTGGCCGTAGGACGTACAATTATTTTTGGGAAAATCCTACCCTGGTGCACTATCACGACAGATATGATATCTCTGAAAAGGCATATCGTGGAGACATAATATCGTCTAGACGATATATATCGTCATATCGCCCACCCCTACCTCTAACTAATTACCTTAAATAAACTCACTAATTAATTAAACCAGTTCTGTGATGCTGCTCTGACACAACACACAGTTGATCACATCTACTCATCCTCCTGTCTCCCAGCAGTCACATCACCATCTTTCTGTTTGCAAATCTCCTGAAACAGAACGTGTATGCTTGAGAAGCTGACATAAGAGTCTGGAGTTTTGAAGACATAACATAATGAAAACACAGCAACCACTTACAGCAACAGATTATTACATACATTCATTACACGAGTGAAGGACAGATCTATTGTCATTTTATATTAAAATCATATTGGTCAGATGACCAACACTAATAGCATCTAAAGTAAACCGGTCCCTTCTGACAGAACTTCAAAAAGTTTTCTTGGTTTTCATTTTATTACAGTTTTTATCAATCGCACACATTTCTGAAAACGAGCTCCTTTTCTCACAACACTTAACACAATTCTTCTAGAAATGTCTTCCTCAAATTGCTCATCCTTACCCAGAAGATATTATGAAACTGATTTCATACGCTGAGTTGATCTAACCATGACTGGTAAACAAATGCTGAGTTTATCTTTAAAGAAGTGTCCTGATAATGAGTACAGTGTTCACCACCAGCTTTCATCACATAGGTGGAAAAAAAGCTTAAGAGAGTTGGTGTTTTTAAAGATTGTGTAAGGATGAATGAATGTACTGCAAACAGCAGCAACAAAAGCAGAAGTGAATTTCTATGCAGAAAATATGGCTGGCCTATTTAATCACAATCTTGATTTGGTCTTATATTATGAGTAATTTCTCTCTTCCTTTTTGGTCGGAGTCTGTCACCAAGATGTTTGAAGTGTGGCTATATTTGAACCAAAATTACACTTTCTATATCTGATCCTCAAAGATGATTATCACAGATTTTAAATATGTTCATAAAGATGCTTCTCTGACACAACACACAGTTGATCTGAGCTGTGATCACACACTGAATTTGTGTTTCTGCAGGTTTCTTTCTTCACAGTTTGAAGAGTAATGTGTACATTAGGGATGTAACGATATACCGAATATCGCGGTAAATAAACGTCCCAATACCGTTGTGAGACTGACAAAATCTACCGCGATTTAAAAAATGTTTTTATTTTAAAATATATATATTTTTTAAACACTTTTTTTTTGTTTTAAACCTTTATTTAACCAGATGGTCCCATTGAGATCATCGATCCCTTTTTCAAGAGAGACCTGTCCAACATGGCAGCAAGTAGGTTACAACATGAACATAAAACAACAGCACAAAAGGACATCGTATTTACGGGCTACATTTATACACCTAGAGACATTGACAAGTACCAACAGTATGTTTATATCCCTGTCAATAAGCCTCACCTTCTTGGCAACAACTGTATTGTTTTTGAAGTGGTGGAGAGACAATGCACAGTTTGACCCACTGCTGTCACCCATGGCCAAAGCATATCTCTCCGTCCCACTGAGGTGGCGTTAGACTTTTTCGCTGTCCGTCATTTTGACAGACAGGATCATAAAATATCCGTCATAATCCCTTATTACCCGTCGGGTCTGAACAGTTCACGAGAGAGCACGCTCGTGAACTGTCAACGGGGGGGCGGTGTTATGCCGTGTGTGCATGCACCTCGCGGGAGAGCGCACAGCGTAAAGCAAAACCTCCCAGACATGTATTGATCTGTACGGCAAAGTACGGTTTGGAAAATATCATTTCCTTTTGGAGGGCATGCATAACACGGCATAACACCAGAGCCTCGCTGCGGGGAAACGTTGGTGCTGTTCCGAGTGTAAGGGAACCTTCTATGTAGCAATGCAGTGGGAGTCACCGACTCAGGAAAGAGACACGGTAGAGCAGGAGCTTTGATGTCAAACACTGGTGGTTTATTTGGAGTTTCGGCCGGAGGATTCACATCACAAGTCACAGCAGTCACGGTGAGACTGCACGGGTGGGTTGCCACGTCAATTCTGGAGCGCCTCTCTCTCGTTAGCCCATTTAACTGGTTTCACAGAGAGTAATCAACATATTTTGATAAGATAGTTTAAACAGTTGGGCACACTGAGTTACTTGCGTCCGTCACTCATGGCCTCGAAGATGTCATACCTTGGAGTCCACAAACAACAAAGAAGGAAGTGTCCCAGTGCACCCACAACAACAGACCATCTGTGACCTAGTGTTGCCCGGTCACAGAATGGGAACAATAACATTATGGCTGAAGCAGCCTATGTCCTTAAAGGAGATAAACAAACGTCAGGGTTGGTCATGTACGTCATATTTAGGAGTCTAGGACAATTATTTCCCTAACACCGAGTTTGTTCTAATCTGTCAAAATGACAGACTGCTTTCAGATTTTTCCGTCATTGTTAAATAAAATATTCGGTTAACGTGACCACTGCTGTCCCAGCAACATCAGTACCAAGCGAGAGTTTTTTCCAGTGCAGGGGATATTGTAAATGCCCCAACATCCCAGCTTATAAATACCTGGAAATGTGGACATTCTCATATTCCTAAAAACCTGTCTGATGATGCTGAGTGAGTGACTAGTGAGTTTGAGTTGAGTTACTTGAAAAACTAAAGTGACACTTGATTTATTTTATTGCGGGGTCTGATTATTAAATGTCCTTGTTTATTTGTGAGATGCAGTGGCACAAAGAAAATGCCTACTTTGTTTGGTAGTACTATAGGTACAAAAACACTGGTTTTCTTGTTCCAGTCAGTTAGTCACTTTGTTTTTTACACTTTAAAATACTGCTATCCTACTAAAATGCTGTACAAATCAGATTTATTATGTAATAAGAAACATTTTCCGAGTAAAAAAATGTATTGAAAAAAAATAATTATAATTTCCCCCCCCCCACCCTTTATTATTCAATATCGCGATAAATACCGTACCGTGGACTTGTTATCGCGATATTGTCGTACCGTGAGTTTTTGGTATCGTTACATCCCTAGTGTACATGCTTCTTTCCCTGTCTACATGGTAATGTTTCTGTGCCCTGTTGTGATGTGTTCTGTTGTAATGTGTTTTGCTGTCTGTGTTCACAGGACGGATTTTGGACCTGAAGACAGGGACAGTGAAGAAGGAGGGGCAGCAGTCCTCCATGAGGATGTGCATGGGCTCCCGACGCTCCTTCATCTGCCGCATGAGGTGTGTGTGACCGTGTGTGTGTTTCTGACTCGATGAATGTGCAATTTTTAAACGGATTCAGTGAGCAGTCCATTCAGAACTACACTCATCAGGATCAGAAACAGGTTTATTACCAGGTAGGTTCGCACATACTAGGAATTTGACTTGATGTCATGGTGCATACATAAAATATAAAAAACAAGAAATCTAATATAAAAGAAAAAATATTTTACACCGTAATAAAATATAGTTAAATAGCAATAAAAATAAAGCAGTAATTTTCATGGAAATAGAATGCTATGAATGAATTTTAGAATATAAACTATGACATGTGAAATAAGAATATGTGCAGTAAGGAGTATGAACATTGTGTGCATTAATGTAATGCATATAGTCTATGACAGGGATCACCAACTACATTTGTCCAAGGGCCAAAATGTATCCAATATACACTATCGCGGGCCAGAGATCTTTATATAGCCCAGAATTTTGAAGTTGTTGACGGGGGGGGTGCTAGTGGAGCACGCTCAGGTACTGCGGACCGCATAAAGCTTAGCAGACTCTTCACGCTAATGAAGGATCACTTCTAGGCAGGGTTGGGAGGGTTACTTTAATGTAGGGTACATGTAATCAGTTACTGAGTACTGAATACATGCTCTGAAAGTAATCAGAATGCAGTTAGCCTACAGTTACGTGTCTTTAAAAAACGTATTCAGATTACTTTTAGAATACTTTTGGAATACTTTTTTCATAACAGATGGGTATGTTTTGGTGAACAGGAGACACGTATTTTACTGTTTTAATGGCTTATCAAGAACTCAAACACAACATCTTGGTGTCATTCTGGACAGCTCTCTCATCTGTACCCCACATAAAAAACATCACCCGGACTGCATTCTTTGTACTGTCTTAAAACCTTTCCTTGGAATATGTTATGAATTGTAAGGTGTCCTTGGTGCTTTGAAAGGCGCCCCTAAATAGAATGAATTATCATTATTATTTATTATCTGAAACGATGTAATAACTTTTAAAACTTTTTCCCGTCACTTGCCCCATGCATTCAGCAGCAGCAGGCCATTCACTTTGATTTGATCCCGTTATGAAATGTCATCATTTCGACAATAAATAAATGCTACATAAACGTTATCTTGCACATTTTATCTAACCATCTCCGTTTCTAACTTTCAATATATTTTAAAAGAGATCTCTCTCTCTCATCTGCGTGCGGGGGCGGGGCCTCACAGACGCGCTGCATCTCTCTCTCGCTCACAAACATGCTGCAGCGCCGTGCAGTGTGCACACAGCTCTGCCGGTAATGAATATTACATTTTGTGAGGAAACTTTTCCACCAATAATTCCAATAAGTATTCCAAAATGTATTCACTTCAGGTTTATGAAAGTAACTGTAATCAGATTACTCATTTTTCAAATGTATCGCCAGCTGAATACAGTTAGCCTACTTGATTTTTGTATTCTGATTACGTAACGCCGTTACATGTATTCCGTTACAACCCAACACTGCTTCTAGGCTACTGTCCCGCAGCTCCTGCCTCTCTGTTGGACTCTGTCGCAGCAGGGCTACTGCTGTGGTGCGGAGCGCACAAAGCAGACTCTTCACAACAAAGGATCACTTCTCCCTGTTGGACTCCGGTATTGCACCTTACTCACGAGACGTTGTAAAAGAAAAAAATGGGTGGGGGGCGAACGCATTAACCACTCCGCCAACGCCACAGTCATCCCCCGTTGTGCGGGCCGGATGAGAATGTCTGGCGGGCCGGATGTGGCCCGCGGGCCACCAGTTGGTGGTCACTGGTCTATGATGTGGCAGAGGTAAAGTGTCAGCGGGGGGGGCCGGGCCTTGTTTAAGAGGCCGGTAGCGGAGGGGAAGAAACTGTTCAGGTAGCGAGAGGTATTGGTCCTGATGGAGCGCAGCCTCCTGCCAGAGGGGAGCGGGGTGAACAGTTTGTGTCCAGGGTGGGAGGGGTCGGCCACTATCTTCCCTGCCCGCCTCAGGGTCCTGGAGGCCTGCTGGTCGTGGAGGGATGGCAGATTGCAGCCTTCTCTGCAGAGCGGATGACACGCTGCAGCCTGCCCTTATCCTTGGCTGTGGCGTACCAGATGGTGATGGAGTAGGTGAGGATGGACTCCATGATGGAGGTGTAGCAGTTCACCATCATCGTCTTTGGCGGGTTGAATTTCTTCAGCTGCTTCAGGAAGAACATCCTCTGCTGGGCTTTTTGGGTGAGGGAGCAGATGTTCTGCTCCCATTTGAGGTCCTGGGCGATGATGGTGCCCAGGATGCGGAAAGACTCCACAGCAGTTACTGGGGAGTCACACAGAGTGATGGGGGCAGATGGGGCTGCGGTCTTCCTGAAGTCCACGACCATCTCCACTGTTTTTAGGGGGTTGAGCTCCAGGTGGTTTTCCCCACACCAGGTCACCAGATGGTCCATCTCCCACCTGTAGGCAGACTCGTCCCCACCAGAGATGAGTTCGATGAGGGTGGTGTTGTCTGAACTTCAGGAGCTTGACAGACTGGTGACTGGAGGTGCAGCTGTTGATGTACAGGGAGAAGAGCAGAGGTGAAAGAACGCAGCCTTGAGGGGAACCGGTGCTGATGGTCCGGGGGTTCCCCAGCCGTGCTGCTTCCTGTCAGACAGGAAGTCTGTGATCCACCTGCAGGTGGAGTCGGGTACGTGCAGCTGGGAGAGCTTGTCCCAGCAGAGCCGGGATGATGGTGTCGAAGGCGGAGCTGAAGTCCACAAACAGGATCCTGGCGTAGGTTCCTGCTGTGTCCAGGTGCTGGAGGAGGAAGTGAAGGGCCATGTTGACAGCGTCGTCCACAGACCTGTTGGCTCTGTAGGCGAACTGCAGGGGGTCCAGGAGTGGGTCTGTGATGTATTTCAGGTGGGACAGGACAAGGCGCTCAAAGGACTTCATAACCACAGAGGTCAGGGCGACAGGTTTGTAGTCATTTAGTCCTGTGATCCTTGTTTACTTGGGAACCGGGATGATGGTGGAGGTTTTGAAGCATGCTGTGACGTGGCATGTCTCCAGTGAGGTGTTAAAGATTTCAGTAAACACAGGAGACAGCTGATCAGCACAGAGCTTCAGGGTGGAGGGGGAGACATTGTCAGGGCCAGCCGCTTTTCTGGTATTGAGTTTTCTGAACAGTCTGTTTATATCCCTTTCATCGATTGAGAGAGAGTCCGATGTGTCGCGGGAGGTCAGCGGTGTGGGGGAGTGAGATACTGAAGGGGAAGGGGATTTGGAGGTGTGAGACTAAAGCTGTTGCGAGGTGTCATGGGGGATGGTGTCAGGACTGAACTCAATGTCTTCAAATCTGCAGTAGAACTGATTCAGATCGTTTGCAAGGCATCGGTCGTTCATGGAGAGGGAGGCTTTTGGCTTGTAGTTTGTGATCTGTCTTAGACCACGCCAGACAGAAGCAGAGTCGTTTGCTGAGAGCTGATGTTAGAGTTTCTCAGAGTATTGTCGTTTAGCATCTCTCACCGCCTTGCCAAAGACGTACTTCGACTCTCTAAAACGTGCCTTATCGCCACTCCTAAACTCCTCCTCCTTTTGCAATCTTAGCTGTTTCAGTTTTGGTGTGAACCATGGCTTGTTGTTGTTGAAACTCACCCTGCTGCCAACAACAACAAGCCCTGGTTCACATCTCATGAACTTGTGTTACGTTATCTTGGGTTTTCAAACTCAAACCCCTACATTTCTAAATCTTCAAAATGTTGCAGTATTTCAATAATTCCACCTTTTTAAAATGTTCTTTATCACAAGCAGCCTGACATATTTAGCTTAGTAATAGGCCCGGTCATATGTTTAAATAATGGAGCACTAATTTTGATTTTGTTACCTCCTGGTAACATGAGTTACACATGAAACCATCAGGATACTGTAGAGAAATGCTTCTCAAGTGTTTTTATGTCAAGGAAACTTGACACTCTAGGGCTCCACTTAATATTTAGCTTCAGGGACCTTCATCTGAAATATTTGGGGTGACGAATGAAAAATGGCGGCAGGTCGGTCAGGTGCGGTAGTTGTCCTGCTTTTGTACACGCTAATTTTGACAATTGTACAACCGGTAAACGTCAATGCAATTCAGCAATCTCTCAACAACAAATATACGAATACAACTGTCAACTATGATGATCCGATCACTCATGGGACTCATCAGTACAAACAAGATCCACCATGTGTCCTGGCTGCTACTCTTCGATTTCCACAGTGGTACAACACAAGGAGGAAAACCGCAAAAACATCAAGCAGGCGACAAAGCAACGAGGCTCTGATAATAGCCATCTGTCTGCTTCTGTCGGGGGATATTCATCAATGTCCTGGCCCGACATCAAATGAAGCAAGCTTCGCTGACAGTGTCACCTGTAACTTTACTTCTCCTCAGGTAAATATATCTAGAGGCCACTTGTGCTCCATAAACTATCAGCAAACTCACCTAGTTCAACCTGCACCCTCCCTGAGCACCACGGAGGATCCAGCAGTCCTCCAGCTGCAATATCCAGACACCGGCCTGGGGTGGCCCAACGAGGGCGATCCAGCCCACTCCCCCGAGCAACACGGACGAGACAGGGGTTATCCAGTGGCGTCTCTTCGCCAAGCAGCGGCGTCTCTTCACCATCCAGTGGCAGCAGTCCAAGGAGGTCGACAGATATCCAGAATCGAACATACCTTGGCGAAAAGGAGAGCAGTCCTCGCTACTAGTGGAATCTTTGCCCGCGGCTACTAATACAGGTGACTAAACTGTCACCGGTGAATTCACCGCCAGCAGAGACTTCTTCGCCAAGGAGTCTTGCAGCGAAAATGACAACATCTCCGACGGTTCCAGCAAGTAACAACAGCGTATGTAAGGCAAGGCAAGGCAAGTTTATTTATATAGCACCTTTTAGCACCAGGCAATTCAAGGTGCTTTACAAAAATGAAAGACATTCAGACAAAGGCATTCAAAAACGGTAAAAGATAATAAAAGAAACATTAAAAGAAAAACAAAA